CTCTTTCTTGGCTCTAAAACCACGCTTCTCTGCCACACGGCTCCATGTTTCAAGGGTCTTTAAAAGGTTCGTAACCCTTTGGTGCATTAATCCTAGTTCTAGGAACACATTCTAAGAAAATAGTCAGAACAGTCTCCAAGTTATGTGCAAAGTTGTTCACTGCATTGTTACAGGAAAAGTCTAAACCATTCAGATATCAAGAAATAGGGCTTCGATTAATTTTACTATGCTATACCCACACAACGAAATACTGTGCGGCCCTTAAAAATCTGTTGCAGAGAACTGCTTAAGGACATGGGCAAAAAAATGTTCACGGCCTTGTAAGTGGAGGGGGGGACAACCTAGGCAGAAGAATACACATATGTATCAATACACACTCAGAGATGCACCCATGAAAGAAATTCTAAAAGAAATGCCCCAAAATGTTAGCAGTGACTCTCTCCAATTTATAAAATCAGGCCTTTTTTTCTTTTTCTTTTTAAAAATAACCTATTGTTTTTTAAGTTTCCTACAATAAACATGCTATTCTTAGTATTTAAAAAATTCAAAAATTCTTTATAAAGTTTCCACTTGGGTAAGAGTTTTCTCTGGAGCCACCCTGAGCTTCGAGCCTGTTTTCTGCCCAGTTTTACCGGCTATGACCATGGCTGCGGTCTTCTCTTGGCCCAGGGCATCGTTGCGGATGGTGCAGGACACGCTGCCCACAGTGCTGTCCCTGACTTTGCTGGATACGGCTGTTTCGAAGAGCCCAGCGTGGTCCAGGGAAGGGGCCTGGGGTTCAGATGGAAGCACCCTGCCTTGAGGGTCTCTCCACTCGGCCCAAGGCCTTGGGAACCATCCCACCGACCTGCACACCAGCTGGATCCATCCAGCGTCGTAGCCCTTCACGTGGATGTAAGGGTCGGAGCCTAGAACTGGAAAGGAAAGCCGCTGGCAGGGCCTTGGCAAGATCCCGGTCCCCGCCAGGGCGCTCTTATGGCTCCCAAGGCGGCTCCGGGTGAACAGGGGGCGGGCTGTTAATTACTGTGAACGCCTGCTCTCCCCACCCCACGCTGTTCACCGCAAAGGGATGAGAGCATCTGG